CACTGTGAGTAAAGCTTCACGAAGGTGGTCTATGTGAGGCGACACCATTTTTTGTGTGCTCACGTTATCCAAGAGGGAACGTCTTCATAGCACACAACATGTCCACGGATGCCTGGAAAATGGAAGAGGTTCTCTTACGGATGAGTCCATTTTAGTCTAGAAAGCGACAGATGCACTATTGATATGAGAGAACCTAGAACCGTATCATCGTCAACATGCGTGAAAGAGATATACGGAAGGGCAGTGTGAGTGTTTGGGTGGCATCTCTTAGGTGGAAGAACAGACCGCCATTCTTTCCAAGGGAAACCGTAATCTGTGAGTTAAGAGAACATAATTGATGTTTGTTGCCCATATGCTGGGGCGATAGGTGATGCTTCCTGTTACAGGACGACAATACAAGACCATACGGCCGCATCGTAGATGATATCTTCAACAGAAAAAATTATCGAATGGGAGTGGCAGCTCGTTTCCCGGCTTGATCTATCGAGCAGTTGGGATGCTTTATTGACACATCTAGCTGCGCTCAATACCCCCTAACTCTTAGGCTGCGCAAATGCTTTGAAAGACAATGGTCAAGCGCTTCCTATAGAACGAGAACCGCATAATTGAAAGCTCACACATCGCTTATGTGCGTATTGTTCTAGAGGCGATCAATTCCTATTGAGGGTACTTTCCTTGCAATTACACCTTTGGATTTGTTCAGTTTATACATGTGCCAAGTTCTAACTAATATATTTTCTGGTATTCACTTTTTATGTTATTGTACCTTACTGTGTTGTATATTGTGGGTAAATTTCATTAAATTCTACATATAACTTTTTCAGTAATTGTGATTTTTCCTTAAACCTGAGGTTATGATAACCAGTATATATTATTTTGCTTGTTTCTCTGTTTGCCAAAACCACCAATGGCATTGTAGAGGCCTACTTGATTATTCTAGTTGTTATTACATAGACAGCAAAGGACAATTTCTTAAATGTAAAATGTACATTTATAATTCTTATATACTTCTTAAATGATTTTTATTTAGAAAACAGTTCTCACAACCAGCAACACTTACAGCAATTAAGAGGAAAGTTTGCACTAATATTACAACATCTGGGACTTTGTTCTGGAGGCTGCATTTTAGAATAAAATGCAAAATTTCCAAAGACTACCCTTTCATGCTCCTGTTCTGATTTTCCTAGTAATAACGGAAACAAAAATCTCAAATATTTCTTTCTTAACAAGGAATTCTTCCTTATTGACACCATGATCATAATTTAGTCAATATCGTAATTTGCATTGAAAAGTTGCGATTGAAGTAAAAAAAGATATAACAAGAGTACTTAGCTATTAAAATAACATGGTAATTTCTTTTAATACTTTACTGTGAGAAAAAATATGTTTCATTTAATTCCATATGGCAGTTTAGAATCTAATTATTCTTCATCTGCCTCAACAATCCATCTGACTAACCCCTATAAAATAATGTTTTGTACAAAAACATTGCCCTTAAAAATGTACCACCTGTAGTGGACCACCCAGTGTCACAAAACAATCATAAGAACTCCGGCTTGATTTGTAAACCTGGTTAATTCTTGATAAGCTGGTTTAGTTTTTTAAGAATACAAGTTATTAGCTATTTGTTTGTTTTCCCCAGTTTTTTGAAATAAATAAATAAATGAGTAAGTAAATAAAATAAAACAAATAAAAATGAAAATAAAATTTAAAAAATAAAAATTTGGATTATGCCCTAAATGTACGATATTTTTAAGTTTAATCCTCTGATCGCCATGGCTGGCTTTATCCAGTCACGAGATTTTTTGTCACTTGGTATATATTAGCTTACAATTTACGATATTCTGCTTTCCTACTTTCTTTAATAATATAAATGTAAGTTTATGAAAATAGAGCCTAAAGTAAGTAAATGTACAAATTTAGCCAATAAAGGCTCTTTAAATGCAGGTCTTCATGACATATCCAAAAACCTGAGACAAATGAATTATAATAACAAACTTAATATTAAAATGACATTTTACATTTACGATTTATAATTTTAATATGCAATTTCCAGTTTTTTATTAATAAGACATTTAACTGAACAACCTCACTTATTCACACTTTTACAATTAAGCTCTTCTTTTGGCTTAAGATGGTATTTCATATGGCTTAATATAATTTATCATTTATTCAGTGAATTTCTGGAAATCCTCAGAAGATACTAAGATCAGTTTTATGTACATTAATGGTAACTGTTCCATCGGCAATACTATACCATATTTCTCCTAATAACTCAACAGTATTTTAACTGAAGACATTATATCTACAGTAACTCAGAACAAAAATCCAATGAAAAGAACATCCAGTTTACCTAACTTGATTTTTGATTAATTCAGAAAATGGCCAAAGCTTCTTTCTGAACATAAAATTTAAATACTAGTATTTTCATTCCTACAAAACACTCATTTCAGAGATTTCTGCAACTAAGATACCTAATGCTGTGAGCAACAGCTGCCAACTTTAAATTACATTTGATGAATATCAAAACGTAATTACACATTTCATTTTTACATTATCATGCATTTTAATTATTAAAATACATTTGCTAATCTAATGAAAATGCTAATCAAAATGATCTAAAATATCCATTTCCATATATACACATTCCAATTTAGTTGCAGCTAATTCAAAATTGCTATAGAAATCTACCATCCTATTAAATCTTCATATTACTAAAATTTTGAAAGGAACTATAAATTTAAACCTATTTCAACTTCACGATGACTTCTCTGCGAAGAGTCAAAAGATATCTAAATCAATCTCTCTCCATATAAGTATATGTATATTGAAACAAAGTAAGATATATATAAACATAAAAAAGAATTTAGAACTAATATTCACAAGACTAAAATTGAAATTCATAATTAATAAATTTCAAATAATTTTACAAATGCAACAAAGAATTTAAAAAAATGTTAAAACCAAACTTTTCAAAGAAAGAAAACTCATTAAAATAATGAATTTAAAGAAAAATGAACAAAAACAGAAAGATCCAATAACTCCAGTGCTACGGGTCAGGGAGGAAGGAACTTGAAAATTGAAATGGTCTTTTATTTGAAAGTTTGGTTTTAACATGTTTTTAGCTTTGTTGCATTTATCAGATATTTGAAACTTATTAATTATGAATTAGTTTTAGTCTGTGAACTATTAGTTAAAATTTTTACTTTATGTTTAATGATCTTTTTCTGGGTAAGCGAAATACAAGACATTTAATTTACTTTCAAAAAGTATTGTTTTGAATAGTTAATATATATATCCACACACACAAGGTATACACAAAGTCTTTGATGCATTCAAGTTATTAATAAATCAGAAACTACTGAAGCTACAATTAAACTGATAGCGGCACAGCTTTAGTATTAGTCCTTTTTGCGAGAAATTTGTTTGGCGACATTTTGGAGCGATAAATGTAAAAGTATGATAACCTCGGTAACCCTAAATACTGAGCTGAAAAACATGCGGCCATTTCTGTCGATGTAACTTTAACGAATTTGGTAGGTATCAGAGCTTTGATGGCAGGAGGGATAAATTGCATGTTTTTCTTAAAGTTATGTTTGTGTTAAGAAAGCACAACATTTAAAATATTTTTTAAAAAGCTAAAATTTGATAGTTAAAACTGATGCTTTTAATATTATATCACATTTTTCATTTCATTTCAAAAAAACACATTTTTCAGTAGCATGAGGTAAACTCTTTGTTTCCTTTGCTAAGGAGATCAAAATTACCCTGGTCTAAAAATACTTTTCTTACCTCATATTAGAACTATAGGGATGTGTAATTGCATGAATTCATAGGTTCAAATCAGGACCAAAATTAGAGAGATAAAGTTTCTTTCTAGATCACAAGTAAGTCTATAGATAACATTATCAGGGTAAATTTACACCAACTAAAGAAAATGCCAACGCCACAGAAAAAAGCTTAAGCTGTGCTCTGGTTTCTGCAAACAGAATTGGGACACAATTGCAGAGAAACTTCAGAACTTGTTGGCAGAAAGATTCTTCTTCTAAACACAGCATCCTTCATGGGAAACAACTTACATGATTTTTTCTCTAAGGGTACGTGAAAGACACTAGTTTATAAGACAAGAGATGACTGTTGATAACCTAAAAGCCAGCGCCAAGGGTGTGGGCTCTGCTAGGATCCAACCCAAAGTTAGTTAAAAAAATAGCTAGCTTTCGATTAGATTGATTTCGATTCGTTTGGAAAATTTATGGGCTAAAGTGCAGAATCGCCCACTTATTTGTTTGGCAATTTTTACAAGAGTAAGAAGAATTGGATTTTTGTCAATTTTCTTTGACTTTTTAAGTGAAAATAGGTCGATGTGAACGTGTATAAAGTCAAGGCAATGCACAATGCCATTTTTGTGCAATTCTGGGATGTTTTTTTAAGTGAAAATAGATCGATGTGCACATAGATACCGAGTATGTGCAATTCATAAAAACGCGCAGAGCAGTGGGCAATCCTGCACTTTCCCCAATTTATGTCCGGCAATTTATTTAAAAAAGAAAACCTCTTATAATTTAACTCACGGTACTTTAAAAAAAAGCATTTAAATATTGATAGTATGAATTAAGCAATAAATATTAAGTTTTTACTTTTTTATTTTTTGCAATACAAGTTATATAACAAAAAATTATACAGGGAAGATGGGATGAATTACGGTTAATTTTGCATTGCATTTAAGTGAAACAATTTTCAAATCATCAAAGACGAAAAGAAAATAAATACTGTCATAATATTAGTTAGTCTCAGCATAAACAGTGTTGCAATAAGTTACCACAATGTAGTCACACGTTTAAGATTTAGGATACAGTTTTGTAATTTAAATACATTCCTCATCTGACAACAGTTAAGGATATGACAAAACAATTGCGGGAGTTTCTTAAAACATTATCAAATAAAGAACTATAGAGGACTACGCAAAAATAAATTCATATGTCAGGGATATAATTCTTAACTCAATACAGTTACTTCTCTTTCTTCCTTACAAGTGAAACGTATTCATGTAGAAAAATCCAAATTTAAACTATAATGAACATTTTTGTTTTTCTTTTTTTCAAAACAGCTTATACAATCACAAATTTCACCAGATTTTATTTAAACCGCACTTAAATCCCACTCGTTGCTAAATGTAAATTCAATTGTTGCCAACAATCATGTTAGAAAATATGTCTGAAAAACAATCTTTGTTTCGATCTAAAGGCCCGTCTACACGTCTCGTCCGACTTAGGACAATCGATCGAATTGGATGTCGGAAAACCAGACGGAAGTGTGAGTCTGACCCCTTCAAGGCAAGGAGGTTAGAATAGAAGGAGGGAGGGTTCGCAGTTTCCTCCACTATCAGGGAATGAAACTTCACCGAACAAGCAGCGTCATATTTGTAACTTCAAAATATTGCATTACGGCAGTGAAACGTACGTTTTAAGCTGTCCGTGCTTGTTTTTCCACTAAAATATGTAAAAATTTATAATGAATGCTTCGCTATTGTTATTTTTGTTTTAAAGTTATAAAGATGATATCCGTAATTTACTACGTACAGAACATCATTAAGAAATACTCGAAATCTAAATCATGTGCATAAAATTAAAACCTTAAAAATAATGTTTCTGCTATTCAAGAATTTGTTAGTTTTATTCGCAAACCTTTGGGTTGTACTTTCCATTTTCTTTAAGAAGTGATTTCTGATTTATTCCAATATTGTAATTTATTAAGAATCATTTAAATAATTTTAACCTGAATAATAGCAGATATTTTTAAAAATATAGTCACAAGTTCATTTTTTAAATACATTTAAATAGATTCTTTTAAACCACAACCTTATAAAACAAGAAAATAAATATAATAAAATAAAACAGATTTATGTGAATTCGTGATTTCAGTTTATGCGCGTTTTCAGATTTAGATCTCAAAGAATTGCCTTTGAATTAAGCTGAATTACAGAAAATACCCATACCTATATTTGGATACATCTTTCCACATGTTCGTTGTGTAAATATTTTACTTACTATCGCTATCCTTCCCACACATTTGTAAATTTATCAAAAAACATTTTTTTTTTAACAACAGAAAAGTTAGTTTATCTTGATCAAATGCACAATTATATTCCTAAAGTTCACAAAACTTAAAATAATATAATACATAAAGAAAAGCATTTTGTTTATACCTTTACAATTCATAAAAATATAACCAATTGGGTTTACTTTTCATGAAAATTATCAACGAAGTACCTAAAACGTTCATTATACAGTTTAAATTCAGCATACACATTGTATGTTAGGAACAAAGATGCAGCTATAAACAGAAACATAAAATGTATTAACATATTTTTGATTATTATTAAGTCCTTTTTCACATTGGAAAAAAACAACATAATTGTATATTTTACCTAACTTATCAAAATTCTAAAAAAAAAAAAATCAATACTTCGCGGGAAAGTATCTCAGGAATCTTTTTCAAAACTTTTGTGCATTAATATACAACAGAATGACATCTTCAAAAAGAAAAGAAGAAAAAAATATTTATTACGGACTTCCTTGCCCCAAGTCACCGCGAAACAGTACAGGCCGCAAGCTTCACCTTTTGAGTGAGCCCCTCCTTATATTCTAACTTCCTTGCTTCATGGGCATTTTAACAAACAAGCGTCCTAGCCCTTAGTTTCCCCTGGGCCCCTGAACATCTGCGAATTATTGCGCATGTCGTCATTTCCCTGAAGGCGCCTCTATTTACTATTTTTACTCTGCTCTTTCCCTGACAGACAACAGACAACAAAGTAAACAATGTCTTGGTTTTGCACCCGTCTTTCTGCCCCGATGGGCGAAAATCAAGCATGGAACTTCGTACATTTTGTACGAGTTCAAAGGCCAGAAAGAAGATGGACAAATAAATTGAAATGAAATGGCCCAAAATAATAGAGGGGAAAAAAGGCCTATAGAAAAAAGGAAAGAAGTAGAAAATACCCTAAAATCATTGTCCATGACGTAATTAAGGTTCTCTGCAAAAATGCGTGTCTTTAAGAAGCAAATTTAGCTAAGTTAAAAAAATAATAAATGATGATGAATGAATTCCTACTGGTAATGTGTATGCCGTTATCTGAGACCTAACAAGAAAAGACATATCATCACAGAGATGTACATAATATTTTAACTAAAGTAACATTAATATTACCGTTCCAAAAATTCAGTATTTTAATAAAAACAGTAATTGACAAAATCATAAATCCATACACAGTGTGAAGCATTTCAGCAAATAAATTACACAGTTTTTTTTTTAAATATTATTAATATAAAATTAATTTATTAATAACCAGGTAATTTATTATAGTACAACTTTAACAAATCGTCACACTGTATTTTTTTGGCTCATAATTCTAAGTTTGAGACTGAAAAAAAAAAAAAAAAAAAAAAAAAAAAGTCGGGGATCTTAGTTACAAAATCACAATCAATACTCCATCATTGGTCAAAGATCCCCATTTTTTCCCTCTCAAGAAATTCCTAAGCACGAAGAGGGGCCTCCGAAACGAATTAATTGTGATAGAACAGACTACTGATTGAATGTCGTCTCTAAGGAATATTTACGAAAAAAAACCACATGACTTGCTACTATTCTAACTATTGTATAATGCTAGAATCTTATGAAAAATAAATAAAAAATTTAATTACACTCTGTGATAGAGAAACATTATGTATAGAACAGAATGTTATATCTGAATATTCTTGTCAGGGCTCTTTTGGTTTCTCGTGTTGATAGAACAGCTAACAAAAACCTGAAGTGTCGATAGCGAAGTTTCCTTTTCAATTTGATGAATGAAGACATTGCATAGGAAAGGTGCATTAAAATTTTTTAGAGAGTGAAATATTTACGAAACAGTTTATTTAAAAAATTTCGAGCTAGTTACACTGCCTCCAGCTTTCGTGATCGCAGCGCCAGCGCTCTTTGCCTGAAAGATTATGTTGTAGCGTGTGATTGCAGATACAGTTTCTCTTTTTATTTTGCTTCGATTATATATCTTGGCACAAAATCAGAAAAACTGCCACTTCAGGGCCAAGATTCTTTCCCCTCAGAGGTATTTTTGATTCTAAATCGAATCAAAATAGGAAGAGTAATCGTGAGCGATAATTCAGGTGATAATTCTGGTTGTGTGTGAGTAATATGGTCGTGTGCAAATATTTTGTATAGCTCAGGGTGATTTTGTTTGCCGTGATTGTTTAAAACTTCAACTATAGATACATTTTGAAACGCGATGCATATAAATTTCATTACAATAATACTACATAATTGAGTCTCTGAAACTAAGAGTTCTAGGTACAACTCTGATATACGCCCTAACTTCACCAAATGAGGCAAATGTGTTCTGCTGGTTTTTGGCGCGATTTGCGGGTTGTATGGTAACCCTGTTGACGTTGAAAATCTTTCGCTGGAGCTCGCTGTTCGCGTCCATGC